GTTATCTATAGAGTACGCACGGGGGAACATGCGTGCGCGTGCATCTTCTGCCTCAGCTGAGGAGCGTCGTCAGCTCCACTAGGTTCAAGATATTTCATGTAAGAGTGAACAGGAAGCAGATTCAGCCTCCTCTTCTGTTTCTGATTGCCTTGGGCACAGCAGCACAAGGCTGCGATCGAACTCCCTTTTGATGTGTAGCTAGTAATGTAGACAGCTGTTGAGCGCTGCGTTGGCCCTCTGCACAGAAATATACGTTTAATACAATTGATGCAAACTTTATACAGACATTGCAAGCTACACGCCGACGCTGGGCTCAGGACGCCTGCACACAGATAAAGAATTCAGATTACTGTTTTGAGTTTCTACCGTTATATGAAATAATTTGGCTTCCTTGCAGCGGCGTATGGAGTTGATTTGAAGCCAAAGGCGGAGAGGTGTGCGCCGTGTTACAACAGTGAGCGACGCTAGCGGGCTAGATGAGTTANTTGAAGCCAAAGGCGGAGAGGTGTGCGCCGTGTTACAACAGTGAGCGACGCTAGCGGGCTAGATGAGTTAGGGAATAAGATCGCTGAACAATGCAAATTATAGTTTAATAAAATATTAATAACCCAAACCACACACAAGGGGCACACATATTGTTCCATTCATGCAACACCTTAACTACATTTTCCTGCATGCCCCCTGTAGTTTCATCTGCACCTCTCGGGTTACAGCTTGGTGTGTGCAACGAGCGCGACGGGTGTTGGTGGGGTGTGTTAACGGCTAAACAGTCCATAATGAGGTTAACTTGTGCTTGAATAAAATGTAAAATAGCAAATAAAGGACGGAAAAAGACATACGACACAAGGAGAGGCGGAAGAGGCACACTGCTCCCGCTTAACCGAACCTGCGCCTCGATCTTGGCGCTTTCGTCTGAGTCGCCGCATCTGTTGGCTTGTAGCTGTTGTATTTATTTTTGCAAATTATTGTGAGAAGGACTTCATATATAAGCAGACAAGGAAGGGCCATCTCGCCTTGTGTGCCGGCTGGACTGCGTTCTCTTGCGTTCGGGCGCCGTGTATGCAACATTTCGGGTTTTCTTCGCTTTCGCAGCATTTTGCTTGTCTTCTCTGAAGTTCAGGAAGGACGTTTGAGCCGAAATGCCTACAGAGAAACTACCGCCAACGGGCCTAGGGGCCCCCAGGAACACCAACGTACCGCCCCTTCCACCTCAACGTACGTGCGCTTCAGGGCTTAAAATCAAGGGTTTAAACCCCTTGTTTCTTTTACTGATTCTTAGTGACTGCTCCAGAGGCACTGAATTGCTCGCATCCCGGTGTGCGGCGTCGGCTGTATGAACTATACCTACCTTCGAGCCGAAACGCGAAACAATATGCAGGAGGTGTCTTCCTCATTTTCCCACCTTCTTCGGTGTTCGGTTGCTGCCATACTCTTTTATTTACAACGGGACATGAGTCTTCTGGGGATGGAGTGCCTACTGTTGTATCTCTACCTCGATGCTGTTCTGAGAGCGTATGCTTGTCTTTGACTTTTCAGCGATATGCGCTAGCTGTGTTGCTGCGTGTGGTTGGCTCTCTCTGCTTCAGGCTCTCCCGTGGGTACCTTACCTTCTAGCGCAGCAGCTGGAGGAGCAGCAGCAGCAGCAGCTAGGGGTGGCGCAGCAGGTTCTGCGGTGCCTGCGCATCTGCGTCGGGGCCGTTCTTTGTTAGTGTTGACCCAAGACAATCAGTACAAACTATCGGCTCCTCCAGCAGACCCCCACGGGGCCCGATCCCCCTCTCGTGATGCGTGGAGGCCAACGATCACTTCGGGGGCAGCCACTTCCCCCAGAAACCCAGGAGAGAGGCCGGGTGTGGTTGCACATGGCGCTGGGGGTGCCCCAGTAGGGACCTCTGCACANGAAACCCAGGAGAGAGGCCGGGTGTGGTTGCACATGGCGCTGGGGGTGCCCCAGTAGGGACCTCTGCACAGGCAGGGAGGCAGCAGCAGGGGTCTAGACCTGTGAAGCGGTTCAGCTTCCGGGCAGGGATGGGCCTCTCACTTGACGCGAGGAGTCGACAGCTGTCGAGGCGTCTTTCTTCTTTTGGAATGACAGAGGGGAATGTCTTTGGCAGTTTGGCGCCAAACGCCCCCGCAGAGCCCCCCGCCTCTGTAGATGCCGTGCTGAAGGAACAGGAACCAACCGGAAAAGTGCATCTCCATTCTGCGGACCTCTTTGAACGGGTGCGTTTACTATTTTTGGCGTTTTTCACATTTTGTGTTGCATCAATTGATCGTTGTTTCTCCTTGAATGCCCTTTGAACTGCTTTCTTCACGGGCGTTTGCTGCCCGCTGCATTCCTCCTGTGCAGCTCTGCCTCCTATGTGGCGCTCTTCCCGCTCGGATCTTCCCGTTTTTCGTGCCGGTGTTTCTGTTTCTGTTGGCTGATGCCTCTGCCTTCTCCCCGTTGGTCCCCTCTGTGCTTGCTTGTGTATTTGCGTGTCTTACTTTCGTGATCATTTTGTCTAGAGGGCATCTGGCCGGTGACCCACTCCTTTGATTCGTGTCTCGCGACTTTAGTTTCTTAGCGGTCTCTATGAGTTGCTTCCACTTCTTTTTGTCAGTGTTGGTTCGTCGGTACCGTGCAGGGGTTTATTAAGTTGCACCCGTCTTTGTTTCCCCTTTAAGTTTGATCCTACGGCTTGCACTGGAGGTGTCAGGGCTTCTGTTAGCTGTTTCAGATTTAGGTTTCGTATATCCCTTATTCGGATTGAGGGGAACGGGCTCAGGGTGTGGCGAGGTGTTCGCTGGTGGTGGCTTGTGCTGCAGTCTTCTCCCTTACAGCGCCTGCGACGGGCGTGGCGGTGCACGCTGCCTTCAGCACTGGAAAGCTCGCACCTGCGGCTGGTGGAGTCGGAGTGCCCCGTAGATCATCCTTCGCTCCGGCAAACAGCTGAAGTGCAGCAGCAGCTGCGGGGTTTCTTCCCGGCCACCTTTGGGAAGAAGTATGTGGAGGTGGTGCCCGGCATGGGCAGCGGCGTCGCCTCACCGAAGGATCCGCCCGAACACCCGCTCTCGAAAGCGCTAAGAATTGGAATTGTCTTAAGTGGCGGCCCCGCCCCAGGAGGCCACAACGTCATTGCTGGCCTGTATGACTTCGTCAAACAAAAGCACCCTGAGTCAATGCTCGTCGGGTTCATGGGTGGACTCGATGGTGTTATGAACCAAAACTACACAGTAAGTCGCAAAGCCCAAGGCAGTCTTCAGTAGTCCTGAATATAAACCTTAAGCCTTACCCATCGAACACAGCCTGCGTGTTCTGCGGGCGCCATAGCGGCCTAGAGAGAACGCCGCCTAATACGTGAGATGTGCGTGTATATCGAGAATGCCGAATTATTTGGATATGATTAATATCCCAATATCGGAGTTATGTTCGTAAACTGCAGAGCTTGAAGTGTATACTGTTGTTTGTTGCCGTGTGTATTTGTTCATGCCGTGTTCGCTTGTCTGTATTTCGTCGCCCGTTTTGCGCTTATTCATTTACAGATTCCCCTTTGTTTATTTGTCCGGTGTTAGGTGGTAACTGAGGAGCTAATGGAAGATTTCAGGAACCAGGGCGGCTTCGACATGCTCTGGTCTGGCCGCGGGCGCGTCGGGGGAGAAGAGGACATTCAGCGCGCAAGAGAGGTGTGCTTTCGTGCACATATATTTGCAACACACGCGCGCAAATAAGCATATTCTACTTACGCCTTTCTGCGTGCTGTGTACTTGTTATAGCTGTCATATTGAGTGAAGTATAGGCACAGATCGTATAAACTGAGGCTCATACTCTGGCGGAACATCTTCAGGTTCATGCATTTTATTGAAGCGTAGTCGTTCTCACACGCTGTTGCAGGCTTACCTAGGTGTTTCTGCTTGCACTGGCGACACAAAATGCTGATTTTCCACGTGACGCGCGTCCTTGTCCATGCGCTTTGTCTTGCGGCTGCTTCGCTCTGCAGGTGTGCGAGTCGCTGGAGCTGCATGGGTTCGTGCTAGTGGGTGGTGACGGGTCGAATAGCAACGCGGCGCTGCTGGCGGAGTCATTTGAAATAGAGCTGCCGAGCTGCTGCGTGATTGGCGTGCCCAAGACGATTGACGGAGACCTGAAAAACGCTTTGATTGAGGCTTCCTTTGGGTTCGACACGGCCGCAAAGACGTACTCGGAGCTCATAGGGAACTTGTGCATCGACGTTAACAGCTCACAGAAAGTTTACCACTTCGTGAGGGTCATGGGGCGCAGTGCCTCGCACCTTGTCTTGGAGTGCGCAATGCAAGCCCGCCCAAATTTGGTCTTCATCGGAGAAGAAGTGGAAAGAGAAAATATGTCCCTCGAACGCATCGTTCAGGAACTGGTTGACCTTGTTGTCAAGCGCGCAGAACAAGGCAAGATGTACGGCGTCATCCTCGTCCCTGAAGGTCTTATTGAATTTATTCCAGAGATGAAGCAACTCATCAAAGAACTCAACAGCGTTCTGAAGACCGGACAGGTGCGTATGCATGACCATCTGCTTTCCGCGCTATGCAATGGCGCTCGACTTGCGGAGCAACCAGTATCACAGTCATACAGTTGTATTCTTATTCCTATGAGAAGGTTTAATCTTTGTACACATGTTCCCTGGCACGTTGAGCTGGCGGGAATCTAGAGGGATACCAACAGGGTTTTCCGTTTAGCCTCTACACAGTTTTTGCATCAAAGGCAGTTTTTGCATCAAAGTTCCATCTCGTTCTTGGCCGAGCAGTGGCGTGTTTTTTCTCTGCTTCCTCAGCCCTTCAAGCCAGAGCTGCTGAAGACAACTCGCGCTGTTTGGGATTTCCTGCCTGATGTCATTCAAGATCAGCTGCTCATGGACAGGGAAAGCACGGGATATATTCAGGTGCGCTTGCCAAGGGTGTCGGTTTTGGGTCTTTCTCGTAATCCTCAAAGGAGCCAGCAGGCGTCTTCTTTTGCGTCACAAGTGGCGCATTTGGACTATGCTTTAGCTTAGAGAAAAATGCGGAAAGTAGCAGTTGGCAGTCGGCACACCTTGCTTGTTAGGAATAAAAGTAAAGCGTCAATTTGCTGCTATTGGAGGCAAGGACATTCTTTGTCCACTTATTGTTTTCGTTTCGCGGTGGATTGGGTGATGTACAAGTGGGGCTGTAGTTTGCTTCATGGTCTTTGGAGCCTGTTTTGCTTACCTTCCCGCGTTTACACCGATTGCCGTGTTAGCACCTGCGGAACCTCAACAGTGAAGCAGTCTGTTTGCTATAGGGCTCCTCAATTTTAACAATCGCGCTGGCTGCTGCAGTTTCTGTGGGGAGAATGGTTAGTGTTCTCTTGTTCAGTGCCATCATGCATGACGTCTCAGGTTTTCTGCATAAGCTGAATGAGAATATCATGGATGCTCTCTGTAGGTCTGGAAAATTGTGTACTGCCGATTGGAATGTTCACGGCAAGATGTGCGCATGTTTGCCCTGTCAAGGCGTTTGTTCTTTTCTGCGCAGGTTGCGAAGATAGCGACCGAGAGGCTTTTGATTTTACTGTTGGAAAATGAACTGGTAAAGCAGGGCAAAGATCCGGAACAGTGGAGTTTTATGCCGCATTACTTCGGCTACGAAGGCCGCTGCGCCATGCCTTCGAACTTCGACGCAAATTACTGCTACTCTCTAGGCTTTGTCGCAGGTGGGATTCGAGGCTTTCAGGCCTTCCAAACAAAAAGCCAGAAAGGGCTTGGGATAGACAGTGCCACCGCATGGGCCGTGCTAGAGCTGTCCTATGCGGAGTTCGTGTTGCTTGTTATATCACACTTTTCCTGTCGTCATGCTGTGTGGGTGGGTTTTCGAATCAGGTGCACTTGTTGACAACAGAAGGAACGGATACATGTCTGTTGTGCGCAACCTGGATCAACATCCCACGCTCTGGACGCCAGCAGGTGGGCAGCACTCCACACTAAACAGTATCCTGAAGCCTCCTCCCCCCACAAAATAGCACACGGAGACGTACACCGAACTTAGCGGAAAGTTACCTGTTGGCTGTGTTTGGGGGCTGGACTACGAGGTTTTCTGGTATCTTTCTTCGAATGGACTGGCCTGATGCTCTGTGAACGGACTGTTTGTTAACTGCAGGTGTTCCTTTCACGACAATGATGTGCGTCAAGGAGGACGCCAAAGGCGTCGCTTTCCCCGCTATCACGCGTTCCCTAGTGGACCTTGACGGACCGCTCTTCAAAGTTTTTTGCGAGGTACCCTTGCTGCAGAAATAGCGGAGTAACAACCTAAGGATTGATTTCACAGTTGGCTGTACGCGGCTTGGCCGGTGATAAATTTGCGTCGTCTATGCAAGACTGAGTCTGCATTGCTTCGTCCCTGATGTTTGGGGGCAGTATGCCATCTTATACATTGCATCATTGTGCACCGTCTCAGACCGTACCCCAATAGTGATGGTCTGAGAGTCCGGTGCTATTCAGTTCGTCTAGAACGAAGAGCCCATGCCGCACTTGGTTGTACAGTGCCAGCTTTGTGCACTGCGCACTGCGAATTAGGCTCGGGAGCACTGGAAGTTTGGCGACTACTACCGGGTGCCAGGGCCTATTCAGTTTGAAGGGCCTACGGCAGACGAACCCGCATATGCAGTGTCAATTCCGACGAAGGAGGAGCTCCTGCATCAATCCGAGGCTATTTACCATGTTGGCGTGAGTTTGATATCTTCTGAACAAGGCAGCGTCTGTCCCTTGTGCTGTAGCCACATACATTCGTCGGTCTGCTTTCTTTATCCAGACTGTAGAGAGCCGATGCCGATGCCACAGCAAGTCTGAACGTCTCCTTCTTTGTTTGTGTGGGATTGATTCTTCATCATACGGCAAAGCTGTGAGTCGGAGGGTTGAGTTTCCACTTTTGTGTGTGCGAGGTATGTGAATGTGTAGTTTGGGGGACGGGTAATCAAGAGCTTCGGCTTCCTCAGCGCTCTACAACGCGAACGACTGACGCATCGGCCGCCCGTGCCTCCACTTTGCCTGGATCCAAAGTGCAAGGCGAGGCCGATGAAACAGGTTTTGTGCAAGGACCCCTATACCCAGCGTCAGGTGCTGATGCACTATCCGTACTTGGCGAACAGTACTTTATTCTATCTTCACGAAGTGGCGCACGATAAATACACTCCACCCATCAACTACGGGCTCCGTGTAGGGTTCGTTTTGTTGTCGAGACAGAGCCCTGGTGTGATGAACGTTCTCTGGGGCCTGCACGAGCGACTGAAGATGGTGCAAGGCAAATGCTTGGCTTTCTTTGGTCTGACGGGTTTGATTGAGAAGAATTACATTGAAATTACGGATGAGAATCTTGAATTGTTCCTCAACCAGGGTGGTTGCGAGCTTACGGGGCGCAGCACCTCGCATTGTCTGGGGTCCATTGAAAATCAAGAAGCTGTGAGACAGCGCTGCGAAGAGCTGATGCTGGACGGGTTAGTGATGCCTGGCTCGGCGTTTGCTATGTCTGAGGCTGCGCTGGTTGCTGAGTATTTCCTNTGGACGGGTTAGTGATGCCTGGCTCGGCGTTTGCTATGTCTGAGGCTGCGCTGGTTGCTGAGTATTTCCTCGCCCGACAGTGCCGCACATCCATCATTGGAGTTCCCGCGACAGGCAGCAACAATTTAGCTGGCGAGTTCATCGAGACGTGCGTCGGATTCGACAGCAGCACCAAAGTATATGCGGCGCTCATCGGCAACGTCCTCACGGATGCCGCATCAATGCCCAAGTACTGGCACTTCATCAGGCTCATGGGCAGGCAACCTTCCTTTGAGGTGAGCTTCCGTGCACAATAGTCAGCATTGTCATGTACAGCTACGGCATTTTGTGGTGCACCTGCTTGCTCGTTTCAGTTTATCGACTTGCTGGGGCGTTAGTTATTCATATTTCGTCGCTTGCTGCTCTGTCCACGTGGTGAATTGCCCAGGTGTTGGAGTGTGCATTGCAAACCCATCCGAATGTGGTAATCATAGCGGAGGAGTATGGGGCTGCCGACAAGACACTTCTGCACGTCGTACAGGTGGGTGAAACTTGATAGCCTCAGAAGGGANGTATGGGGCTGCCGACAAGACACTTCTGCACGTCGTACAGGTGGGTGAAACTTGATAGCCTCAGAAGGGAGCGCAGATGAAAGTTAAATGCACGCGTTTCTGTTTCACATTACTGGGGGTGTCAGTAGCAGTTTGGCTCCGGTTCAACGAAAATGCATTCAGGACATTGCAGACGTCGTCTGCCGTCGTGCGGAGTTGGGAAGGAACTTCGGGACGGTCTTAATTCCAGACGCGCTTTTAATGCACCTGCCGAACATGAAGATTCTGTTGGCAGAGCTCCGAAGAATCATCAGAGAAGCACAGGCGAAGGGAGAGATGAAGAAGGCCCAGGTAATGCTCATAGCTAGGTAGCTAGACATTTGCTGCTCCTCAGCCGAACCGCAGCTGCTCTACGCAGCGGGCCAGATGCCGCTAGCACCACTCTGCCGCTAGTAAATCGGAGCTAGTTAGCGATCAGCAGGTGTAGCGTGCGATTTAGCTAGGTGGTAACGTTTAATTCCATTTGACTGGCTTACCTGTAGATTGCAGCTAGTGCAACCCCCTATCAAAATGTTCTAGGACGAGGACGTTTTGCATAGCTGCAATTAGGCAGCTGCGGACCAGCCGAATCTGAAGCATTCGGACAGCTTCCTCATTTGCGCTGTGTTGGTATGGTTGTGAACACAGCAACAACTCATGGATGTGGATAGTTGGGCCTCAAACGAACCGGACAGCTGGAACTGGCGACTAACACCATGGAGCGCTGCCCTGTTCAAGACGTTCCCGAAATTTATCCGCAGAGAGCTCGTTCAAGTAGACATGGGGGAGGTAAGCCATAAGCATAAACCCACCTCCGGCAGTTGCAGTGGTGTGGCAGTTGCGGAACAGATAGCACATCTGACCCTTCCGCATTCTTGTCTTCTCTCGCTTGCAATATCTTAGATTCGCTTCGAACGCCTAGAGACGGAGGAGCTATTAGCCCAAATGGTCAAGGAGGAGCTGGAGTACAGGGCATCCATAGGCCGCTACTCTGGAAAGTTCCAGGCGGTGACGCACTTCTTTGGTTACCAAGGAAGGTCATCAATGCCATCGACATTCGATGCGAATTTGGCATACGCTTACGGGTGAGTGGACGTGTTCGAAATGGGCATAGTGGGTGTCAGAGTTAGCACAACCAGTGGTGGCTTTCGCACATACCGCATTCGGTTTGTGCGAGGGCTTTTTGAATATGAACCGGGTAGCTCTTGCGGAGTATTCTGTGCTTGCAGCAACCTGGCGTCGATCTTAGTGGAGTCGGGCGTGACGGGTCACTGCTGCAGCATCCGCGGGTTATGCGGGAACCCGAAAGAATGGCATCTAGGCTCTGTGCCCTTCGTGTCGCTGATGCGGCTAGTGCCTAATGTCCAGGACAATCCGACTTTAACTGCCGCGACGCATAAAACAGGCACATCGGCTGCAGACGGGATAGTGGACCGCACTTCAAGGACCCCAAGCGTCACTGAGCAGCCTGTTATTCCCAGCTCCGAAGTCAGCCTAGACGGCAAGGCTTACAGGTAAACCTGAAGTTTCCGCAAATGAGTTTTCGCACCCAAGCATGTTTGGACAAAAGGTGGAGTGGGGACAGATGGCGACCGTCATGGAAACACAAGCGTTGCGGATTAGCCCCAGATGTGGCAGAACCACCGGCAACTCCAGTATATGGACAACCAGACCCTGCAGCAAGTGACTGTTTGTTTGCGCATGGGTTTTGCACAGATNAACTCCAGTATATGGACAACCAGACCCTGCAGCAAGTGACTGTTTGTTTGCGCATGGGTTTTGCACAGATGGATGAAGACAGCTTTGGAACAGTGGATGATGGAAGACCGGTTCTGCAATCCTGGGCCTATCCAGTTTTACGGTGCGTCACCCGGCTTATGGCCTCCGACTCCCCCTGTGTGTTGACGTGCGGGGGAAGAGACTTAAGAGCAGGATTGTGTCTATATCGTATACTACGTAGATGTTGTACTAGCTGTCTGGCGTAAAAAATCAAGAGTTTAGTAGTTTGCAGTTAGCAGAGCTGAGCCACAGAGTAGGCGCGTTAAGGCAGGCTTGTTAACACTTGCCATGCTGTTTCGTTCGCGGACTAGGTAGGAGCAAAATATGTGACAGTTCGAATCAAGTCTGTGGAGCAAAATAGAAACCTTTAGAAAGGAATCATGCTAAAATTGGGTTTCTGCGCTGGTTGTGGGGGTTGTATTTGCACACAGGCGTCGGCTCGACTTTCTTTAACAGGGTGCTGTACGAAGAGCAGGCAGAGTATTTTGACATGGTGCGACGTGTCGAATGTTACACCAACATACTGCGAAACACTTGCAGCTTTGGAGTGTCTGACCACATCCTAAAGCACGCTTTCGTCTCGCTCACAGGGTTGCTCATGCTAGTTTTCCACTCCGATGAGCTGACAACGCGTATGCCAGCCTTAGGCCAAAGTGACGAAACAGACTTCACAGACCTAGAACCCGCAGGGCTCCGCAAGACAACGTGGAGAGACCAAGCGGACCACCTGGGGCGACATTCGACAGCTCCGGCAGCACCGAAGCCCCCGGGCAACTGAGTTTTCTGTCGCTACGGGAGGCGAACAAAGCCCCAAGACTACTTTTGGCTGTACAAACGCCTGCTGCAGTTTTGCTGAACATGTAGTAGCTGGTATTGTGCACGGTCTCGTGCGCTTGTATGTTCCAGTGCCCATAGGGGAGTGCGCTATGCGCATCAAGTTTGGCTTCAGAGTAGAAGGGCATTTTTTCATCGCTCACGGTAGTTTCGTTGTCGCATTTAGACCCTGTTGCGAGCTAAGCTGGTCTTAGTACGAGGTAGCAGCTGTAGGCGACGAAGTAATCCTTTAAGCCTGAGGCAACAACGTACGCGA